GAATGGAATGAAACGATCTGAAAATGAAATGACAATACAATGAAGATGAAATCAGATAAAACGAATGAATAACGAAATTAATGACATGAATGAAATGAAGGAAATTCATGAAATGACTGAAACAAATCAGATGAATGAAATGAAATGATATGAAAAGAAATTTAACGAACGAAAAAATGAAAATGGAATGAAAGAATGAATGAAATGAAACGAAATGAAGTGAAAATAAAATGAAATGGAGAGAATGAATAAATGAACGAATGACTGACTAACTGACTGAATGAACGAATGAATGAATGAATGCATGAATGAATGAACAAATGAATGAGTGAGTGAGTGACTGACTGACTGACTGACTGAATGAATGAATGAATGAGTGGAAAAGTGAATGTATGAATGCATGAATGCATGAATGAATGAAATTCATGATTGGACGAATGAATGAATGAATGAATGAGTGAATGAATGAATGCATGCATGCATGAATGAATGAACGAACGAATGAATGAATGAATGAGTAGAATTCAAGATTGGACGAATGAATGAATGAATGAATGAATTAATGAATGAATGAATGAATAAATGAATGAATGGATGAATGAATGAATGGAATTCATGATTGGACGAATGAATGAATGAATGAATGAACGAACGAACGAATGAATGAATGGAATTCATGATTGGACGAATGAATGAATGAATGAATGGATGAATGAATGAATGAATGAATGAATGAATGATCGAATGAATGGATGAATGAATGAATGAATGAATTGACAGGAAAGGAAAGGAAAGGAAAGGAAAGGAAAGGAATGAATGCATGCATGCATGTTTCCATGCATGAATGCATGCATGAACGAATGCATGAATGAATGGATGAATGAATAAATGAATGAATGAATGAATGCATGCATGAATGAATGCATGAATGCATGAATGCATGAATGAATGAACGCATGAATGCATGAATGCATGAGTGCATGAACGCATGAACGCATAAATGCAAGAATGAATGAATGTATGAATGAATGAATGAAAGGAAGGATGGATGGATGGATGAATGGATGAATAGATGAAGTGATGAATGGATGAATGGATGAATGGATGGATGGATGAACGGATGAACGGATGAATGAATGAATGAATGAATGAATGAATGAATGACTGACTGAATGAATGAATGAATGAAAAATAAATGAATGAAAAATAAATGAATGAATGAAAAAATGAATGGATGAATGAATGAATGAATGAATGAAACGAAATGAAATGAAATAAAATGAAATGAAATGAAATGAAATAGATGAAAAACTCAATGACTGAATGAAATGACTGGATGAAATGCATGAATGAATGAATGAATGAATGAATGAATGAGTGAACGAATGAATGAATGAATGAATGAAGGAATAAATGAGTGAATGAATGAATGCATGTATGAATGAATGAATGAATGAATGAAAGGATGGATGGATGGATGGATGGATGGATCGATGGATGGATGAATGGATGAATAGATGAAGTGATGAATGGATGAATGGATGAATGGATGGATGGATGAACGGATGAACGGATGAATGAATGAATGATTGACTGACTGAATGAATGAATGAACGAGTGGATGAATGAATGAATGAATGAATGAATGAATGAATGAAATGAAATGAAATGAAATAGATGAAAAACTCAATGACTGAATGAATGAAATGACTGGATGAAACGCATGAATGAATGAATGAATGAATGCATGCATGCATGCATGCATGAATGAATGAATGAATGAATGAATGAATGAGTGAACGAATGAATGAATGAATGAAGGAAGGAATGAATGAGTGAATGAAGGAATGAATGAATGAATGAATGAATGAATGAAACATAATTAAAAGAATGAAAAAATAAATGGATGAATGAATGAATGGACTGAATGGATGGATGGATGAGTGAACCGTTGGTCTTGTCCACCGCGAGCTTAGCTACCCAACGATGAATGATGACCGTTAGCCAACAGGTTGCCCCGTTGACCCTTCCTCGAGACAAATGAATGAATGAATGAATAAATGAATGAATGGATGAATGAATGAACGAACGAACGAATGAATGAATGGAATTCATGATTGGACGAATGAATGAATGAATGAATGGATGAATGAATGAATGAATGAATGAATGAAGAAATGGCATGCATGACATGTATGACATGTATGACACGTATGACACACATGGATGAATGAAAGAATGAATGAATGAATGAAAGAATGAATGAATGAATGAATGAGTGAATGAATGAATGAATAAATTAATGAAAAATGAATGAATGAATGTAGGAATGGATAAATAAATGAATGACTGACTGAATGAATGAATGAATGAACGAATGAATGAATGAATGAATCAATGAAGGAAGGAAGAAGGAATGAAGGACTGAAGGAATGAAGGAATGAAGGAATGAAGGAATGAATGAATGAATGAATGAATGGATGAATGAATGAATGAATGAGTGAAAAAAGGAAACATAAATAAATGAATGGAAAAAATGAATGAATGAATGAATGAATGAATGAATGAATCAATGAATCAATGAATGAATGAATGAATGATTGAATGAATGAATGAATGAATGAAATGGAAAAATGAAATGACATGAAAATGAAATGAAATGAAAATGAAATGAAAATGAGATGAAAATGAAATGAAAATGAAATGAAAATGAAATGAAAATGAAATGAAACGAAATGAAACGAAATGAAATGAAATGAAACGAAATAAAATGAAATGAAATCAATGAACAAATGAATGGATGAATGAATGAATGCATGAATGAAGGAATGAATGAATGAATGAATGAATGAATGAATGCAAGAATGCATGAATGCAAGAATGCATGAATGCATGAATGCATGAATGCATGAATGCATGAATGCATGAATGCATGAATGAATGAATGAATGGATGAATGGATGAATGGATGAATGGATGAATGGATGAATGGATGAATGGATGAATGGATGAATGGATGAATGGATGAATGAATGGATGAATGGATGAATGGATGAATGGATGAATGGATGAATCAATCAATGAATGAATGAATGAATGAATGGATGGATGGATGAATGGATGAATGGATGATGAATGGATGAATGAAGGAATGAAGGAATGAATGAATAAATGGAAAAATGAATGAATGAGTGAGTGAATGAATGAATGAATGAATGGAACAATAAATGAATGAATGAATGCATGAATGAATGACTGAATGAATGAATGAATGAATGCAAGAATGCATGAATGCATGGATGCATGAATGCATTGATGCATGAATGAATGAATGAATGAATGAATGAATGAATGAATGAATGAATAATGACATGTATGACATGTATGACATGTATGACATGGATGACATGTATGACATGTACGCCATGTACGGCATGTATGACATGTATGACATGTATGACATGTATTACACGAATGAACGAATTAATGAATGAATGAATAAATGAATGAATGAATGCATGAATGAATGATTGACTGAATGAATGAATGAATGAATGATTGATTGACTGAATGAAAGAATGAATGATTGATTGATTGATTGACTGAATGAAACATTGATTGATTGATTGATTGATTGATTGATTGGTTGATTGACTGAATGAATGAATGAATGAAGGAATGAAAGAACGAAAAAATGAACTAGTGAATTTATGAAAAGAATGACTGAATGAATGACATGTATGACATGAACGAACGAACAAACGAACGTACGAATGAATGAATTAATGATTGAATGATTGAATGATTGAATGAAAGCAGGAATGAATGAATGAATGAATGAACGAATGAAAGAATGACTGACTGAATGAATGAATGAATGAATGAAATGAATGAATGAATGAATGAATGACTGACTGACTGACTGACTGAGACTGAACGAATGAATGAACGAATGACTGACTGACTGAATGATCGAATGAATCAATGAACCAATGAATGAATGAGTGAGTGTATGAATGACTGAATGAAAGAATGAAAGCATGAAAAAGTTAAAGAATGACAGAATGAATGAATAAATGAATGAACGAATGAATGAATGCATGAATGAATGCATGAATGGACGAAGGAACGAACGAACGAATCAATGAATGAAAGGATCAATGAACAAATGAACCAATGAATTTTGCCGACCTCATCGTCCAAAAGTGTTCTGACCCTGTCAGGTTTTTACGATTCTTATGTGAAACGGAGCTCTCGCTACAGTGGGGTGCGCATTTTGCCGACCCCATCGTCCAAAAGTGCTCCGATCCTGGCAGCTTTTAACGATTTTTATGTGAAGCCGAGCTCTCGCTACAGTCGGGTGCGCATTTTGCCGACCCCATCGTCCAAAAGTGCTCCGATCCTGGCAGCTTTTAACGATTTTTATGTGAAGCCGAGCTCTCGGCAAAGTCTCGCGCACATTTTGTCGACCGCTTTTGCAGATCGAGGCCTGCAACCGTGGAAACAGAGGCCTACTTCGGCGACCACGGAAGCCACTTCTCCCGAAAAAACAAAGGGAATGGTTTCAAGCCGGAATTCACGCGTTCCCGACCTGATGATGTGCTTGACATGATGACATGATGATGTGGTTGACATGATGGTGAGAATGCTGGCCATGACAATCGTCCGTGACTCGGAAGTTTTCGAACTAAACTTCCTTTGGCAATTTTTGGACAGCATGCATTTTTGTTGGACAGATGTACTAGGTAATGAATGGCAATTCTAGCTATACTCAATTTCTTTCGTCCAGCTTCATCTCCTGCCATGCTGTTGGTGGCTGGGGCAGAATGTCAAAGGACACAACCCGTTCGGCACCACGCTCCACCAGCATCTCGACCAATCTTTGCCCCACAAAGCCGCTGCCGCCCGTCACGCAGCACTGCAAAGGGACTGGCCTCGACAACGACACATCACGGTGACTGGAAACATCTGTGACGAAGATCTGACAAACGATCATCAAACATCATCAAACATCATCAAATACCATCAAATATCATCAAATGTCAAATAGCCAAGCGAACCTTCGGTGTTGATGGAACAATAGAATCCGATAGAAACGAGCTCCGACTACCAAGTAGTATACGGTGACCACAGGTGACCAACATTGAAAATCAAATGGGCCAAAGCACGGTCCATTTCAAGAACAGAGCAGTGCGAAACAACACAGCAACTTACGAAGGTCATCAGGCAAGCAAAAGACCGCAAATTGAGTCAGTTGCGAATCTCTTCTAAGAGTTCACTGTCAATGTGTGCTCCAATTTCTCCAAGCGCTTTAAAACTCCAAGAGCTTGCCCTGTCCGACGTCCAAGTTGCGGGTAGCTGCGCTCAGCCGCACGGCGCTGCAGAGCTGTCAACGCTGGCGCTGTGCGGGCCATGGTGGAAGTGGGCAGCAACGTGGACCAACTGAGCTGTGGCACGTGGCACGTGACCGGTAGCACGTGTAGCCGTGTAGCTGTCACCATGTCAGACATGTCTTTTTCTGATGAAACCAAGTCGTTCGTGGCACCAGTGCTCTAAACTTCCTAGCCCTTGGAAGAGAACTTCGTCCAATTGTTGAAGGGTAGGTGGATCATTGTGTTGCTTCACTGCTGGGTCAGTAGGGTTGAATTTTGAGCCAGGAAAAGGAACATGTAAAGCGGGACACGCACACACAAATGTTTGCGGTTACATCCGGCAAAAACCCCCAGCGCATGTACATGTACATTTACATCATTTACATCTACATAAACATATAAATTTAAATGTAAATATACACAAACAGATACATATGCATACAAGCATAAACAGAGACATATCTAACCATCCATCCATTCATCCATCCGTTCACCCACCAATCTGTAGTAAACAAAGAAACATGCATATACAATATAATATGTATGTATATACATACGCATGCAACATGTTTGCATCCAATAAGCTGACCTGAAGTTTTTGACCCTTTTCCAACGCATGCAACTAAGCATCATTAGACCCGTGCTGGGTTTCCACAACCGGGTGCAATTGGTTGATGCAACTTCGTGAGCATCAACCAATCTTGCTATGCACATGCTGGTGCTCAAGTTCCTCCAATCAGCAGTCACGATATCCAGGTGGGAAGCTGGGCCCAGAAGGCAGAGCATTGGCAGATTTGGATACAAATATGTAGCATTCCAATGGGCCATTGGTTTGGCCGAATGGTTACTACAAAATCATGTGCCCCCTGACAATATTCAGCAGGTGGGCTAGATACAAAACTTAACCTTCGTAGTGGTATGTTCAATCGCTACCCAAAAGCAATGCCAAACTGAAAAGACAGCGAGTCAAAGAAGCAAAAATCTCCAGCCAACTGATTTCAAACTTGAGCCCCCACCTTGCATTGGGTATAAGCGTCAGTAAGTGACCGACTGATTCGGTACAAGAACATTGACCACAGTGCATGTGGCTATGGCTTAAATTTAACTCCTAAAACTTGACACACAAGCTGTGTAGCGCCCCGCGTATTGAAATATGATCCTTACTTGGATGCACAGGCTGGGGAAGAACTCGCTACAAACCATGGTTTCAGAACTCAAATACACATAGAAACAAGTATGAATTGGAAACGGGATCGTTAGTGCCCAACTTTTACCACGGCAGCGCGGTATGACTCAAGGGCCCTAAAGCCAAATGTCAACGGGGGCATGTGATCACTTGGCTATACAAAATATACATTAGACAGGTCAAACTCACACTCAACCTGTTCTTCAAGGATCACATGATGCTAGTGAAAAAGTTGGCTCTAAGGCTTCTTCTGTACACGGTAAATGCACTCCTTCAAAACGCGGATAATGAGATCCGGGCGCATGCTCTTGGTCAGAGCATCCGAGACCATAGTTCCTGTAGCAATTCAGGTAACGATGTCTCCTCCGCCATGATGAATATCCCAGGTCCTCCGGCCGTCTTGCCACAGTGACTCGTGAATCGACTGCAACTCAATGCCGAGTCGTTTGTCTGCGACCCTGCCAAGTACCTCATTCGCGAGATGGTCTGTTAAAGACCTGCAGTCTGAAAGCATCAGTTGTGGAATACGGCTGCGGCTGTCATCCAACCATGTTTTCATCGAGTCAAGTTGGCCCATCAGCTCGGCCAATGCTCCACGTAGCTTGTCACCGCTCTCTTGTCCAGCCTGCAGTGAATAAGCTTCGCATTGAAGAGTGCTGCGGCATACTCGCCGAATTGTATTTGATGCAAATCCCAATGGCATCACCCTGTAGGATGTAGTCTTGGGGTCTTTGATCTCATTGATGCCTCCAAGAAAATGGAAACGTCCTTGTTGTGATTTGTAGTTCTTCTCGTTTGAAAATGAAGCATCTGTTACTGTAATGATACCAACCTCTCCCCAGGTTAGATGTCCAATGCCTTGTTGTGCCAGCTGTACTACGGCATTTGCGTCGTGCAAAATAGCAACTGTTGCTCCAGAAATACTGGACTGTAGGCGGCTCACACGATAACCCAAATCGGGTCTAGTCTGCCTTGCCACCCATGCCAAGGATCCCGTTACAGATCGTAATCGGGTCACATCATCCTTACCCAACGGCTCGGACGCTGATCTTCCTGGCGCGATCTTGATCGGCTTGATGCGACGGGTGTTGTCGCAAGTGTCTTGTGTGATTGTTCCATCTGCAGTACGCTCAAATTGCTTGCCACAATAGCGAAACGAATTTGATTCACTAGATCCCAAGTTGAACTTCTCCAAAAAGCTGTCGATCACTGACTTTCCCTCAGGAATGTATGCGTACAAGATGTCATCCACATGAGTCGCCATAAGTGCAACGCAATCTTTGTCGGTTCCTGGAAGAAAATACAATCCTGGGTAAAACTTGGATTGTTTCAAGCCACTGGATCGGGCATCTCCGTCCAGTCTCAACCAAAAACCTCGACCGCTGTCAGTTAATCCGTATACAGGCACTCTCACAAGGAAAAACACCTCTGGATCAACTCCCGGGAGACCTCCTCGGGGTTGTCTCATTATGAGGACTCTGTCGAGAGGACGACCTTGGAAATATGCGGATGCGACGTCCGCACTGTGCAATTGTGCACCCTGGATCGCCGCCCAACAGCAAAGACGCATGACACCAACCGGCTTTTGAACTTTGGCACATATTCTTGGTCTGTTCTTCCCTTCATAAATTGGTTCTTATCAACATCAACCCACTTGCTAGGAATACATTGATGCCCTTCAGCAATCAACCTCTCAGCATCTTCTTTTGAAATTTCGACTACAGCAGCGAACTCAAGGAACTTGTTCCACTCCTTGGTTCTGGCATCCATGATGTTCTTCTGTACATCAGGTGGCGCTGATTCATAGTGGATTGATTTCAACACTTTCTTACCTAGCTCTTCGTCCTCAGGAACTCCAACTTCCTGGGACAAAAATGATGCAAACAATGCTCGTGCTTCTTGTTGTTCTTCAGGACTTCGTTCTGAGTCTCTCTCACGAGCTCTTTCAAGATGTGTCCGCAATTGATGTGGTAAGTCATTCAAAAGTTCCCTTCGCAATGGCCAAGATGACGCTGACGATGAAGCTAATGCACCTGAAACGGAACCACTAGGAGTAAGATCAGGCACAAATGAGTCTCTCCGAGATGGCACAAGTGATGAGCCTCTCTCCGACTCAGGTTGTAACTGAGACTCTACTCGAGGTCTCACATTGCGTTCATGATCTCCATCTCCTGGGCGTGGTCTTTCAACTCTTCTCTCTGGAGTTCTACTTTGCGAAAAGATATCTTCTTCCATAGGACCAGTGTCTTCCTCCTCTTCATCTTCTTCAAAGAAACCAGGTCGTATGTCCCATTCATCTTCAGGTACTTCTGGTATAGGAGGAAGTGCTGAATCCACATTGTCCTCAGGGACAACTTCAACATCGTCTGCTTGTCCTGGACCTTCACGAACAACTTCAACCTCATCTGCTTGCCTTGCATCAAGAAACGCTTGTTGACCTGTATCATTGATGACCTTGTATGGAATCACAGGTTCACCATTCAACACTGATTGAGCAAGAGCTTCAGAAGGAGAAGCAATGCGTATGTTGTGAGAAGCCACGAGTACTGGAACGTTACCACATAGCAACCATATATTCTTATGGTTCTCGTGTCCGATCACACGGCATGTTGGTGACCAGGACGTTCCTCCTCGCTGATTGTCTCGTCTGAAAGTGACGAGATCACCAATGTTGAACTCACGATCAAACACACTGGCATTGCGTGTCAACGCTCGTTGAACTCTTCTTGAACAATCAAAATGAACAAAAGCCTTTTGTGCCTCAATCCTGGCCAAATGTTGTAATGCAAAAATTGATGAAGGATCATGTCGGGCCTGAATGGCTCCGAGCTGTACATGGTCTTCCTCAGACATGAGTGAAGCTACACCACGGGGAGCTCGACCAAGCACCCACTGAGATGGAGAAAAACCTCCAACACGTGCAGAGTCGTTCTTCACACTGAGCACTTGTGTGATGCACGACTCAACCTGTTCTTTGGTGCAAGCCCCACACTCGTCTGAAAAGAGCTTTCAACAAACCACCATGTCTCTCCACTCGGCCCAATGATTCCGGGCTCTCAAGGGGCACATGGTGCACTTGAATGTTGTGTTCATCCATGTATTGTTGCAAGACACCACGATTGTGCAATCCACGGTCACACATGATAGCAGCAGGATGTCCTGCCCAACTGAACCAACGTTTGATGAGTGCGTCCAAACAGGATCGCGAAGAAGCTTGACCTGCTCCAACCTTCACGCCCTCGGCCTGTTGAAAACAAGTACCAATGCAAACCATGTTGAGAACTTGATACTTCTGTCCAGTTACATCTGTCAACTCCAATACATCAATCCCCAAAGTGTGGTTGAATGTATAATCACTTGGAAGCGTGGCTTTGTGAGTGGGTTTCTTTGCTGATGTTTTCTCACATGTTTCACATCTATGCAACTTCACTGCATCAACAAACTCCTTGCTCACCTTTGCAGCACGCACCAAATTGACCATCACCGACTTGGGGACATGTCCAAAAGCCCTGTGCAACCTACGCACAGCAATCCTGACACGCTGGGGAAGTTTACGCCAAGACCTACGTCTTTCTGATTCATCCTCTGGCAAACCAGGGATATCAACTTCATCCAAAAGAGTCTCTTCTTGTGTCAGGTCCTCAACCGGATCCTGCAATGCAACATCTTCTGGGTCATCGACTGCATCCCAGTTCCCACCATGTTCCTGAGCCTCTTCAATGATCTCTGCTGGGAAGGCATCGCTCATCTGATCCTCCAGTTCACGCTCAAGGGACCAATCACGAATCCATTGACAAAACTCCCAGTTCAAAACGTCATCCAATTGTCGATACATAGACCAGTCTTGAAAACCTTGAATGAGTTCATCATCATTTGACACAAAAGCAAGACCAACTTCGTTGATATATGGAATCTGTGGTGTTTTGAATTATTCCCATCGTTC